TGTTTGATTTCTGGCTGTTTAGTTGAGTTAACGACGACGAATATGTCAGATGTTTATATCGAGAAATTATTGAAGTTTATAGCATCCGAATTCGAATCAACGAGGCATATACATTTCTATCTTTTATGGGTAGAAATAATCTTGACTAAATATGGGTCTCGGATTAATACTGCGCTTCAGATGCCAGTACTGTTAATGCTGCAAAAGAATATGCAAAAGAAATACGATGATCTTAGTAAAATGTAAGTGTTATTACATCTCCTTCACTGTATATACATGTTATAAACATGGAAATAATTCGAAACGGTTTTACAGATGCGATTTTAATCAATATACGATAAACTATATACTGAGGATAGGAGATTTAAAATCTAGAAAAATGTCGAAGCTTTCTACGATTAAGATAGATGATGAATCTGATTTTCCCATAGAAGAAATGGATACGGATTAAGCTTTATTTAAATCTTTGTAGGACGATGATTTTTTAATAATAATAATAATAATAGTTTTAATACAGGCTGTGTTTCAAAATTTACTGCTAGTACTAAAAACCTCTAGTGCACGTAAATTACAGATTTTCAGTACTAGCAGTAAGTTTTGAAACATAATTATACAATAGTGTAAATATGAAAGTATTTTATAAAAATAAACGATTGTAAAAAAAATTTATTTCTTTATCATATAAATAAAGATATATTTCGAACTTCTAGTCGACGCAACGACAATGACTTATTCACAAATTTTAAATATGAAAAATGCTGATTATATACGGAATGCTAATACTGATTCCACAAAATTCGTATTATTTTATTACACTTTTGAGCAATATACTATTGGCCAATATAGAACGATGAAAAGTAAGAAGAGTATAGGAAACATAATTCTGCTGTAGAAATCTATTTTTTGAGAACGTGTTTTACTCATTTGTACTATCTGGCATTCGGGATCCAGCCGTAGAATTGGCAGTAGATGATTGGTACGCTTCTTCGGTTTGGTTGCATAAACGAATTCTTCATTCCAAATGCTCTGTCTCTTCACCATCGCCATTAATCGCTAAAAATGAATAATCGTATTTAATGGATAAAATACAATTTAACAGCCTTTTAAAATTATGAATAAGATTGTTACGAGCAATATTTAGGTTTCGATACGAACCGAGCGAGAATCCGTGAAACTTTGCGAATCATCTTTAATGTGTCGCAAGTCGAGCACTTTGACTACAACAAATTCTCCTAAGGCTGCGAACACAAACATCATACAGCCAGCCATCCACACGTCTAAAGCCTGCGTAAGCAAACGTGTATATTTTTATATTAGGAAAAATAAATTATGTCAATATGAAGCAATATACTATTATACATAGTATGATAACAAGTATATAAGGAGGTATGCAGAAAGTTTGGAGTACTTACATTTGCAAACTTACCTTGATATACGCCACTGGCGGAATATCGCTTTTAAGACCGGTGAACATCGTTACCAATGTAAGCATACTCGTCACCAGAAGAGCCACTCGACCAGGAATTGCATCCAAGTCCAACCAGAAGCTGAACCAGGAAAGCATCACGACCAGAGTTGACGGTGTGAACGTTTGTATCAAGTGGTGGCCGATCTGCCTCTCGAAGCGAAAGAAGACTACCAACCGGGAGAAATTTCCTGCGAGATAATTATCAAATTATTAATTAGGATTTTTCTTTATTCCACATGTGATCTTTCATTCTATAATTAGAGTTTGTTATGTATGTTTTTTTTAGATTTTATGGATTTGATTTAATATAATATAATGCATAATTTGTAATCATGGTTCAATGATTATAAACATCGGACAAAGGGATTTAAATAAACTCTTAATTAACTTTCAGATTAAATTTGTATAAATATATTAAATTTTAACATAACCATTTTTCTCGAGCATATAATCTATAATTTCTTCAGATACTGCGGGCTTCCCAATATCGTATTGCAAAAGCTTCAATTCAGGATTTACCGTAACACCGCCCGTGCCCCACTTTAAACGCAACTTTTTTCTATTGTAGGAAACTGTAACAAATAATTCGGATTTGTGTGTGTAACAAGTGGATAAATTTACCGAAATTTATTCAAGAATATATAATGCTTCTTTTCTTTTATCTGCTGTCATATGTTTTAAAAATAATAATTTTATAAAACAGTATATGTTTATATATTATATTGTTTTTGGAACTCGCATTTGCATTTGTATTTTAAGTTTTAAGATCTTCACACATGCAAAAACTAAGACGTAAGACTTAAGCAGGGAGACAAATCAACATGTTGGATTTGTTACTGCTTACATTATGGTCATCTCTATCGTGATTGATCGATTCGCTTACCGTTTACATCTTAAATTTTTTTATGTGCTATGGCTTTTGAGCTTTACTTACAGCTTTCTATGTAAATTGGACAGATTTGAATATCCATCGGGTACAATTGAAATTCCATTTGACAGGCAACGATAGCGTTAATTCGGGCAGAATATTTAATAGTTTTATTCCGGTATAACGTGACCAACGAGAATTTATGATTTAAAGTCGCAATCTCTGAAAAATTATTAATACATAACAATGGCCGGTATATATATATATATATTCATAGTCAGATCTTATATTTAAGACCGTCTTAAGTACAGTCTTAAGAAGCCACGAACCAAGAGGGACCATATTAATGTCTTATTAAGACATTACTTAAGTACAGACTTGAAATAAGAACGGATTATGAATACCGCCCAATTTAACACGAAGACAAATATGGCTTACCGGAAACTTTTGAATTTAAAAAATATGGATCCGGTTGCCAAAGATTATCGAAAAATTCCAGGGGAAGTATGACATAATCGTCGTCTTCCTCGAAAATATCTTCAGGCATATTCAGTCGAGATTCTATCCAACTTTGACTGACGAACATGTCTACACTAATAAAGATACACACAATTGTAATTTTATAATCTTTTACATCCAGATTTTGAACATCTATTTTAACTTAAATGAAATGTATCCCATTAATTAATTTAAATTAAACGTATCTCATATCTTTTTATACATATTCTCTTACTTTTCAGAAGTGATACAACTCAAAAGATTAAGTTTTTAATTGTAATAAAATGTTATATATAAGAGTTAAATATTATTAAGTATAGGGAGTTATACATTATATTTAATTCATTCTTGAGAGTATAACTTAAAAGAAGTTTATCGCTTTAATTTACCGAAAGTCCATGTCTTCAACGTTGATAGAATTAATGTCAACCACTAAAATGTTGAAGTTTACCACTACAGGTGCATCCGACGGCGGTCTAATTTCTGCAAAGAATTTTATTATATATAGCTCATTATTCGTACAAGAAACGTAAATGCAAGCGTCTTGTCCTGGTAAGCCGCACATTACCTTTAACATAATGTTCTGGCAGAATTAGCCTCGACGTCATAGAGCAATTGTTGACATCGCTGAGCAAGCTGCGAGAAAAATTCCGTCTTTCATCATCATTAAAGTTCTTTTCTGTTTTATCTGTTCATTGTTAATGCAGTTTGTTTAACACTTGTTGTTTTATTTGTATTGTATTATATCTTTGGTTACTGACTCATCGGAAATTCTCATTATATTAAACGAGGGAGAATACTTTAATCCTATAAGATTTAACATGCACCGGTCGAAAACACTATTATTTATTTTTTCGGTTAGATAACTTATTTGATCGCGCGAGAGAAAAGTTGTTAGCAAGTTGATATCGTGCCTCTGTTTACGGAGAAGCAAAAGAAGGCATATTTAAAAAGCTCGTTTCTTCTTTTCACGCCAAGTATGCAAAAAATTGCCCTTAAGCGCACATCATTAAAATTAAGAAGTAAGAACAAACAAATAAATAAACGTCAACATTAACATAAATATATGTACATCAGCATTAATCGTAATGATTTTTCATAGACCGCGTTAAATTGAAATTTTTCTATCTGGCAGAGTCTAGGAAACAGCGGCTCGCTTCAGCCTACAACTTTTTTCTTTCTAGAAATACTTGTTCCTTTCTAGAAATATATATGTTAAGAAACCCCCAGACAACACAAAGTTTAGATTTTAGAATCGGAGCGATAAAACGTCTTTCGAACGTCTTTTTAGAGTCGGTTCTCGCAAAAATGTCTTTAAAACGTCTCTGTACGCCCCAATTTTGGACTCGTCTGGGAAAGAAACTGATCGAGATATTTTTGCCTTCCGCGACTCGGATGAAAAATTGCTGCGTGCGATTTTTCTTCGCCTAATTTTCGCGTATAAAGCGACAAAAGACTCCGCGGCAAAGCAAAACACTGTGCGTAATGAAAATGGCTTTTAAAGGAGCACGAAGTCGTTTACCTCGAGGAACATACTTCCGGGAGAGAATTCCACCATAGGTGAAGTAAAACTACTGGGAGCGCGCGCTTCATTTCAATCGAACGCATTGTCAACTGATAACGACGTCTTCGGCATCTCTTGCACTGTGCAGGGCGGCACAGTAATTAGTCAATTATCGATCATTTAATGTCGCAATCTAATCCAATTACAGATATCGTCATCCGCTTTTGTGCTTGTTGCAATTAATCGTCGTGAATTGCGTAACGATTTACTGTTTCTGCGTAGATGCACTATTTGCATTACGCGGTCGAAGTTACACATATATTCGCGCGTGAGGAATTTTTATCGTGTAACATACTATTTTTTTAACATCGGTTCGCTAATGAGATGTATCAACAGTTTACATTTTTTTTAAAATGTTTGCAGCTGCAAATTTAAATGTGCCGTTCTTCTTCCGTTCGCGCATTTCTCGCGCGTTTTATCCCGAAGATTTAATTGTCATTCTGCTCGCGTTGCTTAAAATCCTCAAAAATTTTTACATTTACAACGAGGCAAATTATATATTCAGTATATAAATCGTATATATTGGAGAGAGAAAAAGCAAAGGCGCTGACTGCAAAAATTGCAAGCAACGCGAATAAACGCGTATTGTTGCGTTACGCATTGTACGAAACGTCGATTTTGCAACGATTCGTGTATTTGCACACGAAAATAGTTCTGCGGAGAAGAGATTCGAGAGACAAGAGGTATGTGCGCGCGCGCGCGCGCGCGCGTGTGTGTGTGTGTGTGTGTGTGTGTACGTTCACGCCTTATCATTTCGGCAAATGCGAGAAGACAGAGCCACTGCTGTGAGGAGAAAATCTAAAGGGAGATAGGAGGGAAAGAGAAAGGTGAGAGTGAGAGTGGGTCAGTATAGGTGTCTGGTTCGGGCTATGGATATAGCAGGTACCGATGCAGGCTTCGCAAATGAACGAGGAGGAAACGCGAGATTGCGGTTCGCCACGGTTAACACGCGTGTGCTTCCCTTTCCTCCTAGCCCTGAGCAACGGTACCGTCCATTTAGACGACACACGGGTCTAAAACCCGACCTCGATCGTCGGCCTCGATGAGGCCTCCTGTTCCTCCTTCGCTCATCTCTCTTCTTCAAGGGCGTAGCGACAGGATGGGCGGAGGGAGGCGATGCTTTCAGATTCCGCCGAGGAGTCGAAGAGACGGGAGGCTGCGTGATTGATTTTCGATTGTGTATTATCTGTACAAGAGCGCGAGGATAAAAATATGTGATAAATAAAGAAGAAAACCTTTCTTCTCGGATCGTCTATTATCTTCTTTGAGCTTATTTGATAAAAACGAAAATATCGCTGTATTTTGATAATTAGGGAGAATACATCGTTTTTTTTTTTTTATATACTCAGCATAAAACACTTTGACAGAGGCCCAATATTTCGTTTCGTGCGAAAAGAGAAGGTAAGGAATCGTCTCAGAAAATGAATGCAAATACTTTTGTTTACGCAGTACAGTTTACTTTGTTTTTACATCTTGCACTTTGGATCGGAATTACAGTAATTCCAAAATGCAAAACTCGTCTGCAAAAACAAAATAAGCTGTACCGTGTAAAAAAAGGTATTTGCATTCATTTTCTGTGATGATTCCTTGATGATGTCTTCTCTTTTCGCGTGAAACGAATACTCATATTTTAAAGTGTTTTTTTTTATTGAATATATAAAAGCATACTAGACTAATATGTTTTTGCTTTTTTTTTTTGTATTTCTTCCTTGTCAGTTGTATGTTTTCTTTTAGTGCAAATAGCTCGAGTGTATCTTCGAACGTGAATATAAGTTCTGAAGTCTCCCATTTTTAGATAATTGTTTAAACAAACGATCGACTTAAAAAAATCCGTCATCTAAAACTACAATTTCATATACTCGTTCATGCGTTAAAAGAGAAGTCATTAAACTTTAAAAGGGTAGAGATATAGAAGACGATTAAAGTAAGTCGAGAATTTTTAGGGACTCTTTCTAAGGACAAAACTAAAAAGAAATAGAAAATTGGACAAACTCCAGTTAACTTCAGCGGTGTGACTTTTAATTATCGATGATTACCATTAACGTATAAGAGAAAAGAATTTTGCCAAGGATATAATCTGTACTTTGTGTCTCAAACTTCTACCGTTGGAAGAATCTACACTACGTGGGTGGACCGGTAAATAGTAAAGCGGACACTAGGTGATGCGGTTAAAAAAAGACAAAGCATATAGAAAGTCATACATCCATTTTCCGTTGTCCTCGTTATTCTTTTCAGACAAATACATTTTGACGCTGCGACTTAGCTTGATCTATTAAAACATGGTCGAAGAAGTGAAAAAAATAAGGTTTATCTCTACAGGACCTTCCTACAGATGAAAGACAAGAAGATCAGTGGCTGCGTTCAACAGAGAGAATTAATCAGTTAGCGTTTAATGATTCTTTAATATGATTGGTTCTTGCCTTTAGTTCTTCACTGGATCTAAGTGTAGGAAACCAATATTAATTATATATTGAAGAATCACTAAGCGCTGATTAATTTCCTCTGCTGAACACACAGAAAACCTGGCCCGCCCGGCTTCTGATTATCATCTAGCCGGCTGCGATTGATTAAGTTCATCTCCCAACACGTGATTTCCCTAGTAGCATAATTTATTGGTGCAATATTGATCCAATGCATGTCAATGTTTAATCAATGTCTCACCAATGAATTATGCCACTCGCGGATTGCAAATGAGACAATTTCTCATCCTCGCTCGTCTTTCGCAATCAGTGCAAAGCGAGCAGACGGGTGTCCCGTTCGAGGGAATTCCGTATGTACTCAGAGGTGCAAGCTCTCTCCTGTTGTAGGGTTGTATTGATTTCTATGATGGCGGCAGGCCAGCGCCTGCACCCTCCGCGATCGGAGGAATGGCCAGGGAGCGTTGCTCCGTAGTGTTTTTTTCCCATCTTCGAGGACAACGCGCGTGAAAACGCGACGACGAGAGGCAAAGTGGTGAGACCCGTGGAAGCTAATTATTATTATCGCTTGAAACGGAAACGATAGATCGCGTCGCGCGCCGCCGGCCACATTACTTTCGATTCCGCCCCTGTGGATTTGCCCAGGAACCACCAGGCGACACCGAGTATCTGTGTTCGCGAGTGATGGTGTCCGTATTCGCGTATGGATCGTCGACATGGACAACGATCCCTGAGCAACGAGCTGCACCGCGAGCTTTGTACTAAAATCACCGGCGTGTTGGTGGTTACTTCGTCGATAAACGGGCCCTTCTGAATGAGAGCTATCGCTCATCCCAACGGGATACTCTCTTCTGGTCGTCGTAATCGCGGCGGCACCGGCAGAGAGGGTCGTCGCCACAAAATAGAGGGTCACGCGTGATCGTCTTTATAATCACGCCGGAGAAATCAGCGGGAAACGATATTCTTGGGTAAGAGATAGACGATCTACGCCAGATGGTTTTGTTGCTGTGACTATAGAATAAAAATTATACTCGGATTATCGGCCGTGCTAATTTCTCGTGAAACATGCTACTTCCGTGTGATAGCCGGCTTTAGATCTTCACTTTGTTGTAAAGTGCAACTTGCGTCAAAAGGTGCTTTGATTCGATTGATCAAAACAGATGTCAGTTATTAAAATCGAATATTGATGACTATTGCAAAGATTATATCAAGAAAAGTTTTGAAATCGTTAGATATCTCATGCTAGATCATCTAAACGTAGCAAATAAGACTCTTGTTTGTTCTAAGCTCGGAGAAAGAGAGAAAGAGAGGACAATGTACCTGTAATTTTTTATTTTAAATAGCGTATCTATTTTCTTGTCTAACGTGGATCGTTGTAAAATGACACACGCAACTATTTTTTTAATAATAATTTTTGCAATAATTTTTGCTGAAATCGTATAAGATGCATGCAATCGTGCTGGATCTGGTTGATGAAAGATTTGAAATATTTTAATCCTTTTGAAACTGATCACCTTTTGAACTATTACATTCAATATTCATTCAGAAAGTCTGCTCGAAGACGAAGCATACTTTTCTTGTTACATTGTGAAAATGATTTCGAAATGTTTGTTAATTTCGAGTTCAATTTGTGCCAATTAAACTGAAACACGAAAC